ACGCTACCAGGAGCAAAGGGCATCGCTACTAGGAGCAAGGACGCTACTAGATCCGACGTCCTGTGAACGGATCCTTAATGCTATGCCGATTAATGCGCTCGGTCGTCCTGTGCGGACCATTCATGGCTAAACTGAAGCGGTGCACCGATGGATCCGATAGGAAACCGGTTGGGGCAAACATCGCACTTGCACCAAGTGGGTCAAAGCCTCCAGACCTTGCTGCAGCTGCGGCTGTAAATTGGTAGCAGGTCAAGCAAATGCCAGCAGTTCCACCCGGTGACTTCGGAATGGAAAAGCTGGCGAGCGAAGCATGGGACCTTTTGTCGTTCTGAGAATCACGAAACCAACACTAGTGGACTGGGTACCGCAGTGGCCATTGAACGCAGCCTGACTGACGGGCCTGTGAGTGCCCCTTGCCCATGGAGCTCGGCAAGTTCCTGTGATCGAAGTCCCAGGACATTGATGGACATTGAACAGCAACTTGTCGTCGCCTGTTCGCTTGTGGATCCTAGTTTCGATGAAGGCCATGGCCATATGCATAGCCGAGTCGTGATATTTCGACCAAGTAGCGCTCTTGTTCCTAGTAGCGATGCTAGGAGCCCCTAGTAGCGTTCTTGCTCCTAGTAGCGATGCCACAGAGAGATCTGAAAAAGCTTCACCAAAGCTCTGAAGCTCTGCCTGCGCACAGTACCACGAGACATGAACACCAAGTCCAAAAATGCACACGCACCACAACGAGAGCACACCTCAACCCAAGCGCCAGCCATGACCCAAAAAAATTGAAGGCGCTTGCGTAGTTGAAACGCACTTAGGACATCTTGGAAAGAACAATTGTCAAGAAGCTGCCCGCGCGAAGAGGCCAGGGCCAAATGCGAACGCGCAATCGAACACGGCCTTTACACTCAGCATCAAGACCCTTATGTACTGTGTAGCCACACTGTTGGGGAAAAAATGCACTATGAGGGATGTCTACCTAGCTGTCCAGTTGTCAGTCATAAATGTACAAAATCAATTTTGAACCGGCTGTAACAATAATGGCAGCACTTGACAAGCATCGGCAAGCTTTGGCGCAGCTCTTTTTGCTCGATTCAGAAGTTTCCATAAGCTGCTGAGGATGTCTGCCACCTGGAACTGCTCTCCACTGCCTTGTTGCCACGAGCGACCTTCTGACTGAATCTCTTGGCACGATCATGTCCATCGTTTGCCTTCACTCGCTTGAGATCTGGTACAGTAGCAAAACCCAAAGGTCCACCAAACAGTAAGGCTATGTTGAACATTGAATTGCTTACCTTCACACATATCGAAAAACTTACCTTCGAGCCAGTCCTGGTAGTCTTCATGTTGAACCTTGGCTGCCGCTTTGTGCTCCAAGATTTTTGAATTTACCTTCTGAGAGGTTCCAACACCCCCTGTGACTTCACGAACAGGTGACGCTGCATATGGATCCTCAATGCGGCCCTCATAAGCACCCTGCTTCCTCGATCGTCGATCACATGTCAAAGAAAGGTGTTTTCCATTTAGATACCACCTATCTCTTTGGCTCTGTTCAGGACGGCCTGGAAAAGCATTGCCAAAATTACACCCAGCTTCCTTGTCACATCCCAGGAGAGATTAGGTGTGCCAAGCAAGGCCTTCATGGTATTGCCACTCTCATACTTCCGAAAGAAATGGGTCTGTCTCACCGCCGAGCGCGAGCCCAAGGTGTTCCCCAGGTTCTGGTTTGTCTGCATGGCGTCATGCCGATGGCCAGCCATGGCGGACTTGTCAGGAGCTCCGTAAAATGTATTCAAATTATTCAATCTGAAGCTTGGACGGTTATAGATATGCACCCATCGTGATAGAATGCATCGTTGGCATGTCATTCTTCTCTGGATCCATACTCTGGGCTGCAAATGATGGACTGGCAAGGTGGAATGGTGGATCAGTCCAACTGAAGGATTCTCTGAAGGATTCTGCACACATTGGTGACTCCAACGTGAATATGAATCCAATGTAAGCAAGCAAAGTGAAACATTGCTTACACATGTACATGTTTGACACATTCTTGTGCACCACCTACTTTGGACCTTTTTAGCTACAGTGGGTGATGTGACTCCACTTTTTGAGAGGAAGAACCTCTGGGGAATGTGCACATGCAGGAATTCCAAACTCACAAACCCGGTGGGTCTAAAGCCATGCCGGCTGCTCGTTGTGCATAGGTTTCTGCTTCATACTCTGCTCGGAGCAAGTTGGCCAATGCCCTTAGACATGGTTCATGGCCAAGTGCAATTGCACGCATATCAATCATTGGAATATTTCACCATCCTCTGAATCTACACTTCTTTGGAGGATCCCATTTTTTGGACGTGATGGTGGCATGTTCTTTGCCGCTCGACTGGTCAGACTTGGCTTTGGTTTGGGTTTGAGGGGCTGGATCACATCGGTTTGAGCAAAGCCAGCAGCAGAAAAGGTATTTCTCCAATCGTTCTCCCCTAGCGCAAAGTTCAATCGAACTAGGATGCTTTAAGGTGCTAGTTATAAGGGAGTAAGGTGGTAAGCCATACAGTGGGCCATACATCAGGAGAGAAGCAGGAATTCGTCGTGAAGCTTTCTGTCGTTGATCTGAGTCGCAGACTGCCCCCAAAGCTCTTTTTGATCTGCGGTCCTGGCCAGCAACCCGGTCCAGCAGCTGACTTCTAATTTAAAAAGCACAGAACACGGGCACATCATTGACACCCGGAAACCTGGCAGCAAAATCCCATCTGAAACACACATAAATGGAACAGTAGAAAGCATCTGACTAGTAAACCTGGTTTTCATTCCTCTCCGTTGCCTCAAATCCTTCGTCTGACTGGGACAGAAACACCGGAATCAAGCCACCAAAGCGCCAAGCTGAGAGCAGCTATCAAATAGCTTCACTGCACAGCGAAAACATGTCGGTCCTCAAGCGGAAGTCCCACAAACCTAGGACCTGAGGTACCGCAAGGATAGTCGGATAACTAGTCTTGCAAGGGTTCCCTTGGAACCGGGGCAGAAAGACCATGCATGATTTTTCCAGGTGGCCCTCAGCAGATAAAGTTGCAACCCCTATGCTACCAAATGCTACCAGTATGGTCATTGGTCTTGAACTTGGCTACCTCTTACAACACAACTTGATCTCAAACTCCACCACAAACCCCTTCCGCTCGACCGCTGAGGCACTACCAGGTCACTACCACTGAGGCCACGAGCCCAGCGGCTCCAGCGGATGGGCGAGACCTCTTCGGTGAGGCGCTCAATGCTAAAGACCACTTCCTCACCGATGCAGTGGAAACGTGCAGCGTGGAGTGATCTCCATTTGGAGAGCCACAACCGGGCGGATGTTGGGATTTATGTTCGGATTTGTGAAGGTCTTCAAAATGGTCAACGCAAAGGCATGCATGTTGTTTTTTTTTAGAGTCACAGGTGGTCAACCTGAATCAAACTGAGGCTCTGCTGCCCGCCAGCGCGTGAGAACAAAAATGAGGACCAAGGCAGCACCACCAAAGGTGCAAGCAAAGTATCCTGAGCAGTGGCTTCACTTCAAACGGAATTGGAGAATCAAAAAACCTCCAGGTATCGTCCAAGCTGAGCCGATTGCTAAATAAACAGTTGAACGTTGCGCAAACAAGGCCCAAAATGCCTGTACCATCTGGTGACTGGTGATTCCAATGTAGAAACAGGTAGAGAAAATCTCTTTCAAGAAAGAAGGCGTCAGTCGATCGGAAAACATCACTCTGAAAGATGGAAGCAACACAAACGAAGGCAAAGGAATAGTGCTGCTGAGCAACGGATAGCAAGCAGTCTGGCACAGAAAAATTGGCTAAACACAGGCTTTCACTCACGAGTGTGATGTTCATCCAATCCACTCAGCACTTGGCAAAAACACATTTGACAATGGGTATAGGCGTCAAATGAAAGCAGTCTACCAGCGGTCTGTTATGGTCTGCTACGTTACTACCATGCAATAGTGACTAGTGGGGCAAACTGTTCCAAACGCTATGTATTCCAGTCCGTCTCAAGAGCCTGTTGGAGCCTGTTGGGTCCCCTTTGTTCCTAGCAGCTTCTTGTTCCTAGTAGTAAGGCCAGGAGCGCCCCTAGTAACGTCCTTGCTCCTAGTAGCGATGCCCTTTGTTACCATCTCTCGTTTCCACACCCAGAACATGTTTAAACTCATAAGGTCCAGTATGACAAATCAAATCGTCGGCGGTACACATCTCGACCAGACCTCGTCAGCGTGCAAGTCGAAAACTCTGCCAAAGGAAGTCAGCTGGGCAGAAATGATGAACAAGTGAACTAAGTGTTCTGGACAGTAGCTCCTGGCCTTACTACTAGTAACCACGACGCTACTAGGTGGAGGCCATCGCTATGGTTGGAGGCCATTACTAGTAAGAAGTCAGCCTCCTCAATCAAACCTTCTTGTGCCCTGCGGGCCGTCAGGCGAATTCAGCTCCCTGCGGCTCTGTGAGACGCTTTCTGCCCAATGCCAGGTCTTCAATGTCCTCCTGGGAGGCCATCACTACTAGTAACAGAAGCTACTAGGAGCTCCTGGCCTTACTACTAGAAGCAAGGATGCTACTAGGGGCTCCTGGCATCGCTACTAGGAGCATTCTTACTACTAGTAACAGAAACTTAACTAGCAATGGCCAACCTACTTGCGATGGCCTCCACCTAATAGCGCTCATAGCGTCCTTAGCATCACGACTAGAATGCTGGTGGATAACTGACAGGGGTCTTTGAGTGGCTTACCTGGTGCTATATAATTGGGTGGTTTCATCACTAAGCCATCCTGCTGAGTCAAAAAGAAATTGAATGGACTAGACACACTTCGAACTTCGAACTTGGGTTTTCAGTTAACGCAATTGTCTCAATGGGAAGGAAAGCGATGGAACGGAAAGGTGCATGGGTCAGCCAAAAAGTATTGTTGAACAATGTTTTCGAAAGCGCTCAAGTGGAAACGGCGGTCAGCAGCTGCAGTGCAGTGGGAAACCTGTTTGTGGGGAAAGTGTCATGTGGAATCACCATGAATCAAATCGTGGAAAAGTAGGGTGACAGCTTGTGGAAAAACTCAGCAGGTACACAATGCGGCGTCCCGCATTGCTTCACGACCGATCTATCACTGTCTTCGTTGGGCAGTGAGTGATAGTGGTCCACTGCCCCCCTGCCTGTGTGGAAGTGGTGGGGTAAGACCCTTTGTCCAGGGTGGGACACACACAGGTCGCCGCATTCGGCGCTTTTTTCAAAAACCGGTGGCAGGCGTGGTAGTTATGCCCCTTTTGGACATATAGGTTGACGAGTTCAGCCGCAGCAACGTCAGCGCTGGAGGGTGGGAATGTGTATTTTCGAATGGTGTGGAGTCTTGATTGGAGGCCTGATAGAGCCAAGCGCTGGCTCCCGGCGGTTGTGGAATCCCGGATTTTCCAGGGTTGGGAAGGTTGCATGTAGGTGATGGTGCGTTGTGGGAGGTCGATGTTGAAACCGAGGAGATGAAAATCCTCCACCGGTTCGAGTTCAACTGGGTCGCCAAAGAAATTGTGGTGGATGAGGGTTTGGATAGCCGGGTGTTGAAGGAAATGTTCGTTGTGGACAATGAAGCGGTTGTCGACATATCGATAGTAAGTAAAGTGGAGGTCTGTGTGTTGAAGGAGGTTGTTGTGGATCTGATGCCAGGAGTGCTCGATGAGGGTGATGGCAACATTGCATAGGGCTGGAGAGAGCTGGGATCCAATCCCGGCCCCTCGGATTTGTTTGTAAGTATTGTTGCAAGCCCGGAAAATGCATGTGTTGAGGGCAAAAGCCACGATGGTGGTAATGTCGGAAGTTTGGATGGTGCGTTGGGTAGGGTGTTTCCGATGGTGTCTGCCAATGTGTGAGTGGTGGAAAGGATTGCCGGTGGCCTGGACATCCACCGTCAAGGTGTGTGTGGGTTGCTGTTGTTGCCAGTGGTGGACGAGGGAGTGAACTGCATCGATGAGTCGGTGCTGTGGGACTGAGTTGAAGAAGCCGACCAGGTCATCGTTGGTGGCGTGTAGTGAGATGTCTGGTGGTGTTTGGGTAAGGTAGCTGTGAAAGTGGTGCCAAAGCTGGGGAATGGACATTTGGCCGGGATGTTGAGGGTAGAGGTGTTGGAGGATGATGTCAAGGGCACGGCTGGTGATGCGAAGCAAGTTGCCACTGAGTGATTGGAAGTATGAAATAATTGTACGGCCTTTTTGCCAGTGCTTCTTCTCCTTGAGGTGAACAACGCCGTATGGAATGTTGAAGTCTTTTCGGAAGCCCCACTTGTAGCGAGTGCGCAAAGTGGGGGGGGACAGTGGCGGCCAGGTGATCGTGGATATTGGCGGCAGTGATGTAGGGAAGTGGTTCGAAAAGTTCGGGGGATTGCCAGGTGTTCAAGGCGCCAGTGAAATATTGTCGAGGGCAAAACAGCCGGAGTTGTTGGAGCTCATGGTCGGCATGGTGGAGTAATGTGTGTTTTCCCAAATGTTCTTGGAGTTGACGAAGCAGGCGGGCCGTAAAACGGGGTTGCTGCTTGAGGTGTGTGTTGTGAAGGCGCCATTGGTGCTCAAGGAAAGGCTGTAGGTGTTGAGCTAGGGATGGTGGAAGCCCCTGTAGTTTGAGCCATTTGGTGTAGGCCGTCGTGAAGATGAGGAAGTACCGAGCTTTGCTTGGGTAATAGGTGCTGTTCATATTGGCGTTGAGGAAAATGCTGAGGTGTGTAGGGAGTTGGAGTTGGTCAAGTGTAAGGATGTAGTGG